TTTCATTTTTCATATAATGGATCTGATTCTGAGAGGTAAAGCCCATCTTTTAAATATTAACAAATCAAAAACGAAAAAAGAAAAAAGAAAAAAAAAAAGAGAAGATATCAGTCACACTCATAGTCACGTCACATGGCCTGCAGCAATCCTACACGCATCGGAAAATTAATTTTTTTTGATAAATTGCCCAAGAAATTTATTAAATCCATAATTCTTATCCATTCGCGACCGTGGAATCAAAAGATCAGACAGACGCATGGCCATCCACGCCCACAGCATCAGTGTTCATTCACTCTATATATAAACCCTCTCAAGGAAACCTACACGCCAAATCAGCCTAACAGAAATTCAGTGGAGTGAGAGAGCATGAAGACCTCAGGCTCAGGGAAGAGCAACAAAAGCAATGTCAAGTCGGACGCCAGGAAAGATCGGAGATCGGCTACCGGCATGAGCGGATCGCCCAAGAAAGGAGGTCACGGAGGCAAGTTCACGTGGTCCGGCGATGGCTACTCGCCGGCAGAGATCGGGTTTCAGACCGAGACTGTGGATGCCAGGGATCCAAATTTCGAAGATCCTGAAGAAGTCCAGACCGTTTGATCACTCGAAATCGTAATCCTCATGATGATCGCGAGATTGTAAATATTTCTGCTCTATTTTTCCTCAGCGGATGTAATTAGCAAAATAAACTGTAATGCGATTATCTGTGATGAATGATTATGGTGTTTTGATGAGTTTCTGTTATTTTAGCCAAAGCAAACTCTAATAATCCCCCTCCTCTTTTTCCTTGAAACAAGAAAGATGAAATTGCAAGGATTGAAATGTTGGATAATTTTAAAAATTATTTTGAAAGTGGAAAATGAAGAGCTTCGACTTCCCTGATGGCAAAATGAATTTTCCGGCCACCGATGGCCGGAAATGCGTGAACAGAACCGTATAGATTCAGTTAAGTGGTCCATAGTGGGCTTCACTTTCAGGATCTGCCTATCTTGTCGGGCCTCGTGAATAACAGATTTCTCTCTCTGGCTTTCTGCAGAGCTCGGAGAGGAAAGGGCCCGAGTCTTATGCGGGTCGGATCCGTAACCGAAAATAAAACCAGTTCTAAACTGAAGAAGAATAAAAATGAAAATAATTTAATCAAAGCTCGTTCTCCTTCCTCCACGTCCACCTGTACCGTCGTCGCCTTGGTGAAGACGACGCCACTTCAGAAGGAGAATTGAGACACTGCCGGAGGACCAAATGCAGGAAGAAGAATAACCGGAATGGGGAGCAAAATTTCGCGGACGACGCAGGTATCGGCGTCGGAGTACTACCTGCATGACATGCCGTCTTTCTACGATCTCGTGCTGAAGGAGGTGCTTGGGAGGGGGCGATTCTTCAAGTAGATACAGTGCAAGCACGATGAGGGTCTGGTCCTTGTTAAGGTCTACTTGAAACGCGGCGATTCCATCGATCTCCGCGAGTACGAGCGCCGCCTCGCACACATCATGGAAACTTTCCACTCCCTCGAGGATCCTCACGTCTGGCCCTTTCAGGTTCCCAAATTCTGCACCACTGCTCTTTCTTTATGTTTATGTTCTTTTGATTATGGACTTTTGAATACTCTGTTTGCGTCTTGAGTAACTTGATACCCAAACTTTAATTTAGAAAAGGTAGCTAAGGTATAAAATTTGGGTCGGAATTTGGATATAGAAGACTTATTTTTCTTTTGTTTGTTGTCTGATTCTTAGAAAAACTAAGTGGTGCATTTTTGGTGTTTGCTTTAGTAAGTTGTTACCGTTTGATTAATAGCAGTTCTGGCAAGAAACAGATAAAGCCGCATATTTATTGAGGCAGTATTTCTTTAATAATCTGCATGCTCGATTGAGTACTTGTCCTTTACTCAGCATGGTGGGGAAAACATGGCTGGCATATCAGGTCTCTCAATCTGCTCCTTAAGTTTCAAATGGCACTGTTGTTGCTCCTAACATCTTGTATTTTGTCCGTCTGCAGTTACTTATTGCAGTAAAGCAGTGCCACAACAATGGAATTTGTCATGGTTACTTGAGTTTGTTAAGAAAACATATTGTGAAGCAGTGAAATGTGAATGGATTTTTTTTTTTTTTTTTTTGGTGTTATTGTTATATGTCAGTTTTATTCATTTTAGTTTGCATCTTTATAGGTGACATTAAGTGTGAGAATGTGCTGGTCACTTCATGGAACTGGCTTTATCTTGCTGATTTTGCATCATTCAAACCCACCTATATTCCTTATGATGACCCTTTGGATTTCTCCTTTTTCTTTGACACTGTAGGGAGGAGGCTGTGTTATCTTGCACCTGAGGTTGTTTGTTGTTCTTGATATTTTTAGCTGGGACACCAGTTTGAATTGGGCTTCTAAAGAAATAGCAACTCAATGCAAGAGAGTAGTTGGATATGGATGGTTCTTACAGAATTGTAACATCGCTGAGTGGTTTGATATAGATGGTTCCTAAACTTGATTTGGTGTGTCTATTTGATGGTTGTAGGTGTCTGAGATAGACTGCAAGATTCTACAAAGTTTAAAAGTACTTGGATTATTGTTCAATAAAGGCTTGCAACATTTCTTCAATTTGGTCTTGTTTATGAGAAGCAAATCATTCTTGCAATTCTCTTGTCCTTGCATGATGACTGGGAGCAACTCTTTTCTTGTTTATGAACTATGATAATTAGGTTACTGTTTGGGTAATGATATCTCCCTTGATTGGATTCTGCTCGTTTTGACAAATTTGATTATCTAGAGATACAATTACCTGAGGAAAGCATTTACTGGAACTTTATGAAATCATACATAAACATAATCTCTACCTAAATAATGTTATTATGTATTCTATGTTTTAATAGTTTTTACTTTGTAGAGATTTTATGAGCATGGAGGTGAAATGCAAGTTTCGCATAATGCACCTTTGAGAAAAGGTGTAAATAAGTATGTCAACTTTGCACTTTTTTCTAATTGAAGGATGTTAACTTTGCCAGTTTGATGGCAACTTTCAACTTTTTCTATTTAAGGATTGATTGGATGGTGATGCTAATATGACAAATGAACATTTTAAAAAGGGTTAACTTCCTTGAATAGAAAAAGTTGAAAGTTGGCATCTTTACTTAGAAAGTAGAAACTAGCAAAGTTAACATCCTTAAATAGGAAAAAGTGCAAAGTTGGCATCCTTATTTACACCTTTTCTCATGCACCGTTAAAGCCATCTATGGACATCTTTGTTGTAGGGTGAGTGTTCTAAGTAATTTAGTGTCTTTTTCTTGGAGCTACATTTCCTTTGGATATGTGGTTTGCAAGAGATATAATATTATTTAAGATTGGTATATATATCGAGAAGTATATCATTTGATGTTGAGAAACCCTTCCAAGGCAATGTTTGGTGAAACATTGATATTTTATGCATGGTAAAAATGGTGTAGAATGAATATTAAAGCCTAGTATGAGTAGAAATTTGCCTAGTATGAGTAGAAATTATTTTTATTCACAATCTCATAGATAATGTAATGTGGTCTTGTTTACTTCTGCAGAACAAATCCTTTATATGCTTGTCAAATTATAATGTGCTAAACTTCAGGCTGTCTTGTTTCTCTATCTAGGTGGGGGAGATGGTGTTTTTATTTCTTATTCACATCTAACATTCATATGCTTTATAAAGGCTGGTTAATCTGGGGCGTATTCATGTTAGCTCTCCATTCAGGACTAGAGAGGCATGCTTGATGGCTCTGGCTACTCTCCAGACTTCATGCTGTACCAATTGCCAAGACTCGGCTGTCTTCTTGCTCTCTGCCTTCTCTGCCTTTTCAATAGCATCATCTATCCCTGGGAAGGATTTAGATCCATAATCATTGTACTTTGATGGCCCATAAATCTGAAAATTAAAAGTACCTGGATAAATTAGCCCATGAAATAATGTTCTGGATGTCTACATTTTCATCTCTGTTTGGTTGGAGTGAGTGGCTAGTCTTTGTTGATTGCAATATAATTCTTGGTTGGCTACCCATCCATAGAGGATGGGCATGGCTATTCTTTGTTCAAACCATAGAAATAGTGCCAAATTGAGAAACTTCCTTGCCAATCTAGGATTAGCAAAGCCTTAATATTGATCATTTTGATTAAGATTAGGGGGAATAGCCATTTTTGGGGAGTTGGTAATATCTATTACATCCTCATCCATTAATTTAGTAGAAAATTATCAATGTTAACTATTAAGGCTTAGTTTATCCTATCTTTTAAGGAAGTTTCTCAATTTTACATTATTTTTATAATTTAACTAAGGAATGGCTACTCCCTCCAACTGAGCATGACCTTCGGGTTTGGGGTTCGATGTATAACATAGTTTCTGATAGTGAAATTACTAAAATGGAAAATCTGTTCTGTAATTTAAATGTTGTGTCATGAGTGTAAATGAAAGGAAAACGTACCAAATGTTTCTGCCATGTGTTTCTAAATAGTCCTTCACTGTCTGTAAATGCTCGCTCTGCCATCATTAGCCTGTCATTTAGCTCTCTGACTTTTGCATGATCTGTTATCCACATTGATGTCCAACCTTTATCCTCTTCTATTTTCTAGAATTAGATTGAAATCACAAGTTAGTGATCTTTATTTTTGTCAATTGCAATTAATGAGAACTAGGTAGGTACCTTCTTCTGGTTATTTATCTTGATGGCTGCTTCTGATAGCTCATTTATAGACTTGAACAAGGGTGAAAGGTTAATGCCCTTATGTGAGATCTCAGCTTCCAAGTCCGTTGCACTTTTCTGTTGTCATAGATACAATTCATTGCACTGACCTTTGGCCATCCAAGCTGTTGATACAAGGTTCATATCGAGTAACTTACCTGGAGCTCAATTGCATAGGACTGATAATCAAAAGGCAAGAATTTATCATCTGCCAGCCGAAGAGCTATCAAACCCCATACGCTTGCAACTGTTTTTTATGAGAGAAGAGGGAGGGGAAGAGGGGAATAAACTCTCATTGTTAGGATATAGTTTTGCAGGATTCCTTGTGCTCAATTACTTGTACAATAAATGCTCTTTTCTGATTTTCTGTTGAAAGATTTTTATTCATTAGATGTTGCTATGTAAAGTTTGATGACATACCTGCAACATGCCTATGAAACATTGGGTCTCCAAATTTTTCCATCCAAACATAGTCATCATACATTGAATGATATACTGGGTACCCTGCATTGATAATTGTTTTGTTAGACGTGAAAGATATGAAAACCATGTCATCATATGTTTTGCATCTATTTTGCTAATGTGGTAAAGTTCTGAGGATTCTGGTTGGAATTGCATGGATAATCTAGTACTATTATTCTTATGAACTTGTAGCAGAAAGGAAGGATGTACCTCTGTTTTGGTCTTTCTTTGAGGAACTGGTTATTTGTGATAAACTTCTGGTCATAATCCTATTGATGTTACTTCTTGAAGTTGATTTTTTAATTGGTAAATAAGTTAGTATATAGCTATTGCAAGGTTTGTGCCTGTACTGGACCCTATACTCAAAGTTCTTGGTTACTTTTCATTGAACTTAAACAATTAAAATCGTTTTCTCTGGATGAGATAAATTTAGATGCTTCTTGCTAGTTTTTGTAAGGTTTGTTGGTATCTTTTGGTTATGCGGATGCTGGTCAGTGGTTCATCATTTGTGCTTACTTAAATGCTTGTTTTTGCTTTGTCAGCGGTGCTTACTTGAATGCTGATTCTAAATTTATGCGTTTTCAAATGCATTATCTAGATTATTAGATTTTTTCTTTTATTATTATTATTATGATTGTTATTATTATATTTATACTTTTCCATTCATATGTTGCCTTGCATATATTTAGTTGGTTTCCAATCTAGCACAACCATTACATGTAAAGCTCAAACATATGGTAGACTTGTAACCTGTATGTGACCTCACATAATAGATAGAAGTATCAGAGGGTACAATAAGCATGTTGTTACCTTTGCCAAATGTTATGTCAGCTGCTGGAACACCGATATGTTGCACAAAAGCTTTATAATCTGATCCTCCACCTCCTAATCTCCCAATCTTCACAGGCAATGCATAGGTTAATGAACGCTTGTTAACTTGAGCATACATATTGAAGAAGCACTTGAACTATTTCATATCTTACTTTAGGAGAATTGCTGGATCCAATCCATTGTTCGTATATAGTTTGTGATGAATTATCAGGATCTTGAACCTTCAAGATAATCACAAATCTGATTAAATGAATGAGAAAGGAAAGAGAATTGAAATCCGGTAATACATAATAGATGGTGCTACAAATCCATTATTATTTGTTCACTGTATGTGAGCTGATGTTTGCAATCTCTCAATTTTTATTTTTTTCCTGATACACTTAGCTGTTGTTGTTGTTGTTGCTGCTGTTTGCTATTGATATTATATTCTAGTGCCTTGGAGATATACCAGTTGGGTAGCTTGTTTTATTAGTTCATCAAGCTGTGGAGTTGCAGAGGCATAAAATCCAGCTGCTTGCACTGCAATGTCAACATTCAAGTAAGCAATAGCCCTTGATGCCAGTATTTCCCTGTTTTCTTCTATCCACTCTGTTGAACCTATCTGAGAATAATTACTGTTCAGATTTAAACCAAGACAGGGGAAGAAGATCTAGAGAGAGATTGACTAACCAGGCCATACTCCTCAGCATCCCAATTGCAAAAGATGATTGTACGTCGAGGTTTCCACCCACTCTTCTGAAGCTTACCCAGTCTTTGGGCAACCTACGTTACAGGTAAATTCAGATACAATGTGATGTGAATATCCCTTCTAGCATTAAAAAGGAGCACTAGGGAATAGAATTACCTCTAGTAGTGCTGCAGTACCGCTGTTGGGATCAACAGCCCCAAATGTCCATGCATCCCGATGGTTTCCCAGAATGACAAACCTAGAATAGTTAGAAAAGATTGATTGAAATCTTTGTGAACCAGCCTTTGCTTTGAGGAAAATAAACTCAAACCCTATTTTTCTCTATTTCTGAACTCAAGATTACTGCAAAAAGCTTTCAACATGGTTCTGTTGTTTAATTATTAATAATGCTGAATTTTTAGAGTTCTCATGTTTTCTTGGGTGTTTTCTTTCATTGGTTAGATATGCTTGTTTTGGCGTGTGATTTCAACCCACTCCAGTGCTAAAAAACCCTGCCTCGTTTCAATTCTATTGTATCCAATCCTATCTATATGAGTTTTGACTTACCTATCTGGCTCCTCTGCTCCTTCAATCACACCAATGACATTCTGAATTGTCTCTATTACTTCCTTCCCCTGAAATCCCATAAATCCAACTCATTTTTATCATCGTAAGTTATGATTCATTTTGACTGAAACTGTATTTGATACTTACAGTATAATTAAGATTCACAATTCCTGGTCCTGGTCCAATCCTGTAAGTAGGAGCATCCTCACTTCCCTGCCAATCTTCTTTGGCCACTTTCCCACCAAGAGACCTCAAAATTGTTTCCCCATCTGCTGCCGATATTGGCAAAGAAGGGATTAGTGGAACATCTCCTGTCTTCTCTACCTCTTCCACTGACAGCCTCTCACATCCTTCTGAGCTTGCCCATCCAGGTGTTGTAGGGTCTCCGGTCCCAGTATAGACCGACCCTACTTGAACCCCACTAGGTGGCATCCACTTGTCATCTGGAAACCACTTCGCACCACCTCCCCCACCGCCGTAGTCTTTCCTGTCTGTATAAACGAGAGTTCCTATAGCACCAGCCTCAAACGCATTCCGAACAATATCCCCTCTGAAAATCTGTCCATACCTTGCTAATACCACGGTTCCCGTAACATTCACCCCCATTTCTTTCAGTGTGGCATAGTCCTCCACTCGACCATAGTTAACATAGACCACGGGTCCAGCGACTGTACCTGACTTGGCATAGCCATGGAACGTAGGAAGAACTTCATCAGCCACATCTGCATATGGATCTCCATCATAAATCTCTTGACGAAGATCAAAAGTTATTGGTGGGTCTGGGGCAGATCTTCTCAGATTCAGTGAACGTGAAGCTGGATAAGTTAGGAACACATTATAGGAAGTAATGTGTGCTTGGATGTTGCAGGAGCTGAGTATGGACAGAACATAAGCCGCAGCCTTTGCGTTGGCTTGAGAGCCGGCAACATGGGGGCGACGGGTGAGAGTGTAGAGGTGGTGGGACACTGAAGCATTATCAGAGATGGAATTGTAAAGGGAGTGATAATATGATTTTGGAGGGGAAGAAAAGAGAAGAGAGAACTGTACCCAAAAAAAAAGAAGGGAGAAAGAGGTGGCCATGGCTAGAAAAGTGGTGGTCGTGGTTGTCTTGAACATTTTTCTTTCTCAGTGTGTTGGAGGAATATCTATGCCTTTTTCTAATCACTTGTTTTGCGGTTGGTTCTGGTGTTGCATTTTTTTGTATACCTTCTAGTTTTTCAGGATTTGTAGGGTTATTGTCTTTTTTAAAATTATACGTCATTTTCATTTATTTGTTTCTTGTTTGAGCTTGGGTAACTATGAGGAAGGAGATAAGGATGGGATTAAAAGAGTTGGTGAGCTTTGAGCCGCACAAAAGTATCCAATCATATGAAATAAAATGGACTTGCTTTACTTTGAGAGGTGGTTAGCACATCTTTTTCTTTTGTAATTTGTTTTTAATTAATATCTTATCTTTGATTGAGAATCTTATGCCTCATTAGGTATTTGGCACATCAACAGACAAAGGACTTCCTTTGTGGTTGTGGAATTTCCAAATGGGTTTCGTCCTTTCTTTTCTTTCCTTTTTTTTTTTTTCTTTTTTTAAACCTCTTTTGGCACAAGAAATGGGTTTCATTAATTCTCTTATCTTCCTTGTTTAAAAATTCAGATCTTCATTGATTAATTCTATAAGTTTGTTTAACGCCTAAATGATCTGACATGCCCTCTAATTTACTGCCGCTAATTCTTCCTTTTGATGATATTGATTCTTCACTTTAGACGATGCTAATCAGGAGTTGAAGAGGCCCTTTTTTTTTCTTTTCTTTCTTTTTTTGTGTCGAGGTGTCAAGAGGCTGATGGCTCTGGGAGTGGTTAGCCATAATAAATGAGTTCAAATTATCGACTCCTAGTTTTAACAAAGAAATAGAAATGTTATTTTTAGTTCAAATTTACAAGAAAAAAAAAATCTAATTAGAATTTTTGAAATGACTATAATCCTGTCAATATCGTAAGTTTTAAATGATAATTGGAATTGCATTGTAATCATTTTTAGTTTAAAGTGACATTTTATTAAAATTAAAAACAGCAAACTAAAAAAAGAAATAATACGGGTTTTTTTTTTTTCTAGAATTTTATTTATTTTGAGTATGTGACTCAACAGTCACTAGGAAGTCTGGCTTTGTACCGTTTGGACTGACTTTGGTCACAGGACCAAATTTATGACATGATTTGTCACTTGGGAGAATAAAATGTTTCTTTCTTCTACTTTGAGGATGTTGGGTTCAATTGGTGAGGAGCCTTAGATTGAAAATGTGTGATGAAAATAAATAGAATATACATGAAGATTCATGAACTCAATAAATTAAGTTTTTGAGTGCTCAAACTTATGCATTGGGCTTATTTGATCTCCTATCTTATAATAATGCTATTAGGCTCAAAGGTGAATCAATTTTGGGTCTGAGACTGTGAGAGTCTTGGACTCCCATAGGTTTGGCCCATAGGTTTGGCGTTACCATGGTTGAGTACGTCGGATTCAAAGATGCACAATGAACTTAAAACGACATGGCATTTTATATAACCATAGTTATGGTTAGGGTATTTCTAGTTAGTTTATACATACTTTGAAATTAATTTTTTTTAGACAATCTTATAGACACGCCCTTTACATTAGTTTAATGCATTCAAAAATTTTAATTTTAAAAAATGCTGACCCCAATATTTAAATTCTAGGCTTAACCTATAATATAACATTTATTTATTATTGAGTCCAACTAAGGATGGCAACGGGTCCCCACGGAGGCGGGAACCCCCTCCCCATCCCCATCCCCATCAATGACGGGTACGGGGATCCCCGCGGAGAATTTTGGCGGAGGGCCAAAAATTGCCTTCGTCCCCATCCCCGCGGGGAATAATAGGTTCCCGCGGATATTCGGAGTCCCCACCATTCACTGCTTGTTAATCAAAATTCCAAAAGAAAATAGTAATTTTACAAAATCCTATATAGCAAACAAAGATGATCAAGATCACTCTTTTAAAACAAGCTGGAGGTGAGCGGTGGTGAGTGAGGAGCGTTGCTGACTTGTAGTGATGGGCTAACAACACGGTGCCACGGTGAGAGGCGGGATGAGATGACCCAGCAGTAGCCTTGGAGCTCAGCTGGAGGTGAGTGGCGAGTGTTACAGGGCAGCAGGGGCTAGGGGTTGTAGTGACGGCGAGGTTGAGAACTGAAGGGACTCACTGTGAAGGTCTGTGGAGATGAGGGCAGAGTTTGAGCAAGAGTGTGGTAGAGGATTAGAGGAGAGGACCGATTCATAATGATCCGTGGAGATGAGGGCAGAGTTTGAGCAAGAGTGTGGCAGGGGACTAAAGGAGAGGAGACTTAGAGACTGACTGGAGAGGAGAGACCGACGTCGACCGAGAGAGGAATGAGGAATCCCAATTTCCAAATTCGCAATTTGCAATTGCAAGAAGCGGCAAGCAAAAGAGAGATTGAGTGAAATGTCCTCCTGCTAGGGCTATATGTAAATCGGGCCTGTAAGTTGGGTTGTAAATTGGGGCTGGGCAATTAGGTTTAGGATTATTAGATTAACAAAAAAAAATTGGGTTGGGCTGAGAATTAGGTTTGAAAAAATTGATAAAAGAATGGGTTGTGAAATTTAAGTTATGTTGGTATTGGGTTAACTAATTAAATTGGATAAATAAAAATTAATTGATAATATATGTACAAAAAATATATATATAAACAAATTTATATTTTTTTTATTTTATATGGATCCCCACGGTTCCCCACGGGGTGGAGAAAATTCCCCGTAAAATTTCACGGGTAGAAAATTGCCTCCATCCCCGCTCCACGGGTAAGAATATTCTGAGAATCTCCATCCCCATGACGGGTATCTCCGCGGAGCTCTGCGGGTCGCAGATAAAATTGCCATCCTT